TGACGCCTTGCTCTCCAGGCCTGCACCCGAAGGGAGAGGAGAAAGAAGCAACACGCGCGCACGTGAACGGGTACAGGCCGGGGACGCAGGCAGCATGGGAGGCGAGAGCCGGAAGGTTTGGAAGGGAGGCTGCCTGGCCAGAGGTGCGCAGCGGGAGGCGGAGCAGCAGCAGGGACCTCAGGCGGGGCGGGGCAGGCCAGGCGCCGCGCTGCGCCGCGCCGCGCTGCCGCCGCCTGCCCGGCCATGCCCCGCCCTGCCCGCTGCCGCTGGAACGCGCGCCCGCCTCGCCCGCAGCCGCAGCATTGGGCGAGGGAATGCATTGGGCGAGGGGATGCCAGCAACCGGCCAGGCTTGTGAGTCCAGTAGGTGCAGGGCGGCAGGGGCCGGCTGGTCTCCGTACCCACCTGAGGAGGCAAAGAGGTGGGAGAGACCGATGCCCACCAGGCCGGCCACGTAGTGGCAATACAGGTTGTAGTCCTCCACGCTTTCCACCTGCGGTACATAGGCGGTACAACCAGGGGGCGGTGAAGTTGATGCCGTACGGTCAAGGCGGCATGGCGGCCGGAGGGCCGGGGGTAGGGTTGCTGGCACGCAGCTCAGCTGCTGCCTGCGGCCCACCCAAGCCACCTGCCCCCGCCTCTCAGCCTGCCAGCCTGCCGCCTGCCGCGGCAGCCACCCCAGCCTGCCTCGCACTCAGCCGCCTTGCCTTGCCCCCAGCGATACCCCGCCGCCGCGGCTGCCGCGGCTGCCCCCGTGGCCAGCCGGCCCCCACCGGTGGCAGCCCAGCCCACACACACAGGAACACCTCCCCACCTCCCCACCCAGCCCCACCTCTGACTCTGCGGCATCTGCCGTCACAAAGTCGGCCATACCGGCGCCCATCTTCTTGCAGATGTCGGCGATGACCTGCTGGTACCGCTTGTCCAGCCCCTGGAACACGTCTGCGGTACCGCAGGGCGCGGCACGGCGGCGCGGCGTGAGCGCGCCGCTGCCACACGCCCACAAGCAGCAAGCGCCAGCAGCACCACCGCCCAGGTCCGGGGCCGGGATACGAGACGGGCGGCGGGCTCGATACAAGCATGTGCAGCACACATGCACAGGGCAGCAACAGCAGCAGCAGGGAGGCGTGTCTCATGCGGATGGGCGTGCTTTCCACCCAGGCGTGCTTCCCACCCACCCGTGACGAGCGGGTAGTTCTCCATAAGCCGCACATACTCGCCGCTGCCGCAGCTCATCTTCCAGCTCCTGCGGCAGAAGGGGAGGCAGGCGGGGAGGGCGGATGGCGCCGGGGAGCCAGGCGGGCAGGCAGGCAGGAAGGTGCCGCGACCACTCGGCCCAACCTCGCACCAGCCAGCCAGCCAGCCAGCCAGCCGCTAATTGAAGGTCGGGCACCCCGTCCTGGCACAGGACGTGCTGCCCTCTGCGCTGCCAAGCCCAGCCGCCGCTCCCTCCACCAGTGCCGCCGCCGCCGTGCCGCCACGCGCGCCCCCGCCCCCGCCGCCCACCTGTCGTAGCTCTTCTCGTGGAAGCACCTCAGCAGGGGCACCTTCACCTTGGGGTCCAGACCCATGTCGTCCTCCACGGTGTCCAGGGCGCGCAACACCAGGTAGAAGACGCAGACGGCGTCGCGCAGGCCGTGCGGCAGCTGCTGGATGACGATGGCAAAGCTGCGCGACACGCGGTTCAGCATGTCGTAGCAGAAGGCCAGGCCTGGCTCCTGGGGCAGCTGCTTGGCGCGGCGCGCGGCCATGAACATGGAGGCCTGCCAGGCAGGGCAGGGGAGGGCAGAGGTTTCGGGTGAGCGGCGCGGTTGGGCGGCGGGTGGGGCGGGCGGCGGGTGGCGGGGGCCAGGGCGCAGCTCGCTGCGGCCGCTGGATTGCCGCCCGGTGAGGGTACTGCGACGCAATTGTGGACCAGGCGGCTGGAAGCGGGCTGCAGGCACCGGCGCACCATGGGCACCAGCTCGTCGGGGTGCGTGAGCAGCTCCCCTAGTTTCCCCATGACTGCTGGTAGCTTGTTTCAGCAAATTGAGGCGGTTGGCAGCGCCGCAGGACTGCTGGACGGGCGATCAGTGGAATGCGCAGCCGGGTGCAGACTGCAGGCGCTTGACAGAGTCGCAGTGATATGCAGGAGTGCATGCACGGCCTCCGGAGCCACCAGCAAGCAGCCAATTTGACTCAACAGGTACAGGGTGCTGCCGTACTCGTCCTCGCGAGAACAGAGCACTGCTGCTCCGGCATTGCTTGCTTTCGAATTGGCGTGCTCCAGTGAGCCATCCCAGGCACTGCGCGTATGCAAGCGCGCTCATCACTTGCTCCCTCAAATAAACCGAGCTCGCCAGCTCTTGGCACGGACAGAGATCAGCCCGCCTGATCACCCACACGCATGTGTGCATGAGGAGGGCCTGCAGCAGCGACGTGATGGTGAGCGCGGGCGGGGCGGGCGGGCCGGGCGCGCGGCGTCGCGGACCGGCCTTTGGCCGTCGGCGCTGCCCCTCTCCAGCCAACTCTGCGCTGTGTGCATGGAAACTGCAGGCTCTCCTTTCTATCTCTGCAAAGCTGCTTGAGCCCGCCGCTGGCAGGCGGCCGCTCGGCACGGCGCGCCGGCTTGGCGCGGCCGCGGGCGCGCCGCCCATCGCGGCGGCGGCCGCCGGCCCGCAGCAGCCGCAGCAGGCGCAGCAGCAGGCGCAGCCCTCTCAGCCGCGCCACCATCAGGCGCACCAGCAGCAGCAGCGGGAGCAGTACGAGCACATCCAGCGGCAGTGGTATGTGCCTCGCAGCAAGCTACACCACTACCCAGAAGACACGCAGCAGGCCATCCGCGGCGGCAGGCGGCCGCAGGCGCGCTCCCTGGCCAGCTCCACGGCAGCCGCCTCCCAGCCCTCGCCCCCTGCTGGCGGCAGTCGCGGCGCGCAGGCGGCGCTGGCAGCTGAACTGGAGAAGCTGGGCGCTGCACTGGAGTACGAGCGGCGGGCGGGCTTTGTGAATGTGGTGGGCAGCGTGGAGAAGGTGCCGGTTGGGGAGTGGGCTGCCCGCCAGCTGCTGTCGGCGGCGGGGCAGCTGCAGGACCCCGAGGCGGCGCACGAGTGCGTGGCAGCTGCCCAGCAGCTGCGGCGGTACGCCTCGGCGCCGCCGGCCCAGCGCCCCGCGGCCGTGGCGGCCGCAGAGGCGGCCGCGCGCAGGGCGCTGCTCAGCGTGCAAGTGGGAGGCAGGCAGCCGACGGCCAGGCAGGCCAGGCATCAGCCGCCCGGCGCCGGGCAGCAGCAGCAGCAGCAGCAGCAGCAGCAGCAGCCCAGGGAACGCCCACAGCCACAGCCACAGCCACAGCAGCAGCAGCAGCAGCTGCAACCTGCACGAATTGCCGTGCCAGCGCAGGCCCGGCAGCCGGCGCCTGAGGCAGCGGCAGGCAGGGGCAGCGCCGCCGCCCAGCCCAAGGCCGCACCGCTGGCGTCAGCCGCAGGCGCCGGCCCGGCACAGGCTCGCCACGTGGCGCCGCCGGCCGCGCCGTCGCTGCTCCCTGCGGCGGCGCAGCAGGCGCTGCCTGCTGCTGCAGCCGCTGCGGAGCATGAGCATGAGCATGAGCTGGATGCGGCGGCGGCAGAGGCGCACGCAGAGGAGGTGGGGCAGGCGGTGCCGACGCCTGAGGGTGAGGAGTACGTGATGCAGGGCAACCGCCGCATCAAGGCCAGCACCGCCGCCTTCCGCCGCTCGTTTGCCGAGGCGGCGGCGGCGGCGGACGGCGCGCCGGCCGGCGGCGGCGTGGCGGCGGCTGCGGCGGCGGGCGGCGAGCAGCGCAGTGCAGAGTGGTTCCGCATGCGCCAGGGCCGCCTCACCGCCTCGGCGTTCAGCAAGGCACTGGGCCTGTTTGAGGGTGAGCCTGCTGGGCCTGCTGAGCCCGCTGAGCCTGCTGGGCCTGCTCGGGAGCTGTGCGCACTGAGCCTGCTGAGCCTGCTGGGCAGCTGCACGTGTGTTGGTCGGTGCCGATGTGCGAGCAGGCTGTGTGTGATGTGGCGTGGGGACCACCCGCTGCCCGCGGCGGCGCTGGCGATCGAGCCTCCCGGCGTCGGCTCGGCTCGCGCCGCTCATCCCATCCCACGCCGCTCCCTGCCCCTCCCATCCCTGTCTCCTGCAACGCCCCTTTTTTCTCCCTCGCCTCTGCTCCAACCTCCTCCATTTTCTCACCCCCGCTTCCCCCCGCCCCTTCCCATCCCCGACCACCACAGGCGACCGGCAGCAGCTGTGGGCGGAGAAGGTGGGCATGGTGGAACCCTTCGCAGGCAACGCCGCCACCGCGTGGGGCACGTCTGCCGAGCCCCGCGCCCTGGACGCCTACCAGGCCGCCACCTGCCAGGCCGTGACCAGCTGCATGTTCCAGGGTGGGTGCGGCCACAGAAGCGCCCGCCTCCCGCTGCCTCTCGCTGACCGACGGCGGCGTGGAGCTGTTGCGGCGGGTGTGCGTGTGTGTGTATGCCTCGTGTGCCTCTGCCTCTCCCCCTCCGCTGGCTGGCTGGCGTGCCCGGTGCCCGGTATGCCCGGCATGCTGCCTGGCGGGGTGGTTTCTCACATTCCCTCGCCGCGAGCCTCTCCTCGCCTCTCCTCCCCTGCCTGTGCAGTCAAGCGTGACGATGCCGTGCACGGCTGGCTGGGAGCCTCCCCCGATGGCCTCATCGAGTCGCTTGCTGTGGAGCCGCAGGCAGGGGCCAGCCCGCCGCCCGGCCCGGCCGGCCAGCCAGGCGCGGCGGCGCGGGCGGCGACCGCGGTGGCGCGCGGCGGCGGGCCTCTGGCGGGTCCCGGGCGCGGCATCCTGGAGATCAAATGCCCGCACAACCGGGGGCAGCCGGAGCTGGCGGTACCGCCGCAGCACGCCACATGGTACTACATGCCGCAGGTGCAGGGCGGCTGCCCGATGGGTGGGGTGGAGGGAGTGTGTGCGTGTGCCTGGCTGCCTTGTCTAGCCTTGCCAGCCACCGCGCCAGGCTGGGGCCGCGGCGCCGCTGATGTGATGAACCGACTCCTGTACCGCCTCGCTGTACTGCCTCACCGTATCGCAGGTTCAGGGCCTGATGTACATATTTGACTGCGAGTGGTGCAACCTGTACATCTGGACGCCCCAGCGCGGCAGCGCAGGTGGGTGGGTGGGCGGCTGCGGGGTTGGGGCGGACCGATCGGCCGTGCGCGCCTGTCAGGCTGCCGCTTGGTGCTCTCAGCCCCACCCACCAGCCAAGTGCGCTGCCGCACGTGCACACACACACACACACACACACCGCTTTGCCCGCCGGTACCGCAGTGTACCACATCCGGCGGGACCGTGCCTACTGGGCGCGGCTGTGGGAGGTGCTGGCCGACTTCTGGTGGAACAACGTGGTACCTGCGCGGCAGGAGTTCCAGGCGGGACGGTGGGAGGAGGTAGAGCAGTACAGGTGGGCGCCGCTCGGGCGAGGCCGCAGCCCAGCCAGCCTGGCACGCCCCGGGCTGCTGCCTCCGGTGCCAGCCCGCCCCAGCCAGGCCTTCATACCCCCACCGCCGCGCGCCTTTCCTGCTGACCTCACTTTCTGTCCTGCAGGCCGCCGCCCACCATCGATGCCACAGAGGAGCTGCGGCAGTGGAGCAAGCGCTTGGCGCTGCAGGCGCCTGTCACCTTCTTCAGGCCGCAGCCGTAGCCGCGGCGGGCGGGCGCCTGGGCGGCGTGGCGGCGGTGCTGTTTCCACCCAGAGGGAACGAGTGCCAGCGGCAGTGCCTGAGGCTGGCTGCCACCAGCCAGCAGCAGCCCGCAGGAGCGCGGCGGCATCGGCGTCGGCGGCAATGTATCAGGGCGCCCAGGATGCCGCCGCCTGTTCCCCTTTGCTTCTTTCTGTCCATGCGCCTGCTGTGCGCTGTTACCTTGCTGACGCAGCTCTTGCAACAACCCTTCAAGCATTAATTGAAGCAGTTCAACAAGGGAGCAGCCGAGAGGGTGGGGGGCCTACAGCTGCATGACGATCTGCACCGCGCGCGCCACGGCGGCCTTCAGCCCCGCCGCATCCCCCTTGTAGCTGTGCACAGCCATAAAGTGCTGGTAGGACTGCAGGGCCGCCTTCAGCTCGCCTTCGTTGACCAGGGAAGCTGCGCCAGGCGGCCCCTTGAAGCTTCTGGCGGCCCGCGTCCACGCCTTGGTGTGCTTGTTCCTGAGCAGCTGCTCCAGGGCCGCGACGCTCAGCACCGCGACGTGGATGCCGCTGCGGCTCCACCCGTCGACGCTGCTGAGCAGGGCGCACGGCTCGCCGAGCGCGGGGACCACCTGCTGCTCGCCCGAGCGCGGCTGGGCGCGCCAGGGCGGGAAGGAGCGCGCTGGGGCGGCCTCCCCGCTCCAGCTGCCGACCGCCGCCAGCTCCACCTCCTTGTCGGCAGCAATCTCCAGCGTGTACTCTTCTCCGCCTGCAGTCTCTCTCCGCCAGCAGTCCCAGCCCACCAGCCGGGCCTCGAGCACACCCGACTCATCCACTGCGCGGCGGAAGGCCACCGCGGTGCCGGCCCAGGGCAGCACCATCAGCGTGGTCAGGCGCTTGTTGCGGAAGCCTCGGCTTGTCTTGCGGCGCGCAGCTGGGCTGGCTGACAGCGAGGCCAAGGCAAAGGATGGCCGCAGCGACATGGTGAGATGGTGGAAGAGAGAAAGGCTCGGTTTGAACAGGCTAGCGCATCAAGCGTTCCCCAAATTCGGCAATGGTGAAACCAGCGAGAATATCAAGCGGTCCACTCCCATGCTTGCAATCGCGTGCTGTGCTGTGCTGTGCTGTGCTGCCCGGCCACCTCCCCATCTCGATTCAAGGGATTGGGCCCTCGTTGCTGAACTGTGAGACATGGGCAACCAGGCTGTGCGCTCGGCTGACAGGTCTGGTGAGCGGCGGGCGGCGCAGCGGTTGCCGCTGCCGTGCACCTTCTGGACAATCTTGTGCAGGTTTTGCTTGAAAAAGTGAAATGATGGACAGGAGCGGTGGTTGGAGGGGGAGGAAGTGAAAGGGCAAACATGCAGGACAGGCATCAAAAACAGTTCCTCAAGGGTACAGTGCATGTACAGTGCATGCTTGCAATTCGGGAGAAGCAGAAGTGGAACCAGCAAAACGAAAGCTAGGGTGAGAAACGTAGGGCAGGTGTGGTTGAACACAATCTCTGCCTGACACAGCCAGCCAGGACAATAGGCTGGGGTGGCACGCAGCGGTGCAGAGAGGTAGGTGCAGGAGCCCGAATCAGTGATGTTGCTGCATCGTGCTGATGCAGAGTTGTCTTCGGTAACAGTAGCAGCAGTAGTGGCTGTCGCTCATCTACCCGCCACACTTCTTCCCCGTGCAACGCTTTTGAATGGGGTTGACTGTGGCCGTCGGAAGCAGCAGAGAGCTGCGGCAGCGGCGGCGGCACACATGGCTTGCTTGACTGTACGCTGAACACTAGGGCGAGGGGAAAACGTCACACGCACTAAGCCGACAGACGCAGAAGCTCGTCGCGGCAGGACCAGCGGGGGCGGTGGCCCGGCACAGCCGCACCTGTACATGGCGCAGGCGCCTTCCGTGGTCATCTGCACCCTGGCATAACCCGCCTCGCCCCAGTCCGAGCCCCTGCAGGCCAGGAAGCGCACGCACGGCAGTCACGCATGTCAGCATGCCGCTAGGAAGCACCAAACGGCGCCTCCCCATCCCGCTGCCTCTCTCCCGTTGGGAGCTGCTCACCAGCTGTTCTTGATGATCCAGTAAGACTTGGGGGAGCCGACGCCGGCGGTGGCATCGTACCCCACCACAATCATGGCGTGGTTGTACGCGTCGGCGCGGCACTCCGCTGCCGGAAAGATGCCTGCAGCGGCGCACACCGGCAGGACGAGCAGGGGCGAATCAGGAGCGCGGTGGACGGTACCATCGATGCACCGTGGGTAGCCAGGAGCGGAGCTCTGTTGACCAAAGCAGGGGGAGCAACTCACCTCCAGCATAGGCGTAGAAGCTGTCGCTGGCGTCAAAGAGCACCACCACGGGGCCTGTGGTGGCCACCGCCTTCATGATGGTGGCCGGGTCGGCGGCAACGACAGTATAGCCCGGCCAGGCCTTCATTTTGAGCGCGCCGGAGGGCGCAGAGGTGCCCGCGGGCGTACGGCAGACACCGCCGTGCTGGTCGAGGTACGGGTAGGAGGCCTCAGAGGAGGCAAACAGGGTGGAAGCGAGCTGGAAGGGCTCGTCTGCAGCGCCCGTGGGGCCGGGGGAGGCACGGTGGGCGGTGAGCGGGCATCAGGGGGCAGGGAAACGGGCGGGCAGGGCCATCCAGCCGGCCCGTTCCCTCCGGCGGCCCGGGCGCCAGGCGCCCCGCCCGCCAGCGAGGCTACTTGTTCTTGCAGGAATCAGGCTGGGAGCCCATGCAAGCAGACTGCCACTCACGTATGTAGCCTCCGTCGCACCCCATGGACCAGTATCCCGCCGCCTGGGTCACGCAGTCCACCATCTGCTGCTCCGAGGCGTCTGGGCTGCTCGCCACTCCGTCGATACGGGCGCGGATCTCGATGGCGCCGACCGCCGCAAACGCCCAGCAGCTGCCGCACCCGCCCTGGTCCCGCACCGCCGGTACCTTGCCCTTCTGGCGCCAGTCAAAGGCTGCTGGCACGGCGGTGGCGGTGGGCGACCTCTGGCGCAGCAGCCTGCGGGAGGGGCCGGACTCCTGCTCCTCCTCCTCCTCCTCGGGCCCCTCCCAGCGTGGTGCGCCGGCAAGCAGCCGCGGCAGCTCTGCGGTGCTTCTCTCAACCATCAGGACCGTCGCCTTAAACTGGTCGAAGGTCAGGTCTGAGAACTTGTTGATCCCGCGCGAGAAGGCGACCCCGGGCCTGGCGTTGTGCGCCTCCGCCGCCCGCAGGTTGGCGCTGAAGGCGGCAAACCTCACCTCGTCCTGCATTCAGCGGGGAGCGCAAAACAAAAAGTGAAACGCGAGGGTGGACGGATGCGATGAGAGGGTGGGCGGCACAGGCAGGGAGATGGTGGGCTGGAGGGTCACGCTGACCGCCTACCGAGAAGCAACTTGTTTCCACATCCACCTGCTGCCTACCTCAGGTGAACTATCTGTGGTTTTCTTGCCATACTGCTTCTTCCAATCCTTGTACCGGGCACGGCGGACTCTCTCGTCCTGGAACAAACCGGCAAGAGGGATGTGGAGGTCGGTGGCGGCGGCGGGAAGGACAGGGACAAAGAGCGACTTCGCAGCGGGAGGGGCGTCTGTCCGCCCCGGAGATGCGAGCTTTCCTAGAGCCGGTTCTCACTCCCGCTGAAGTAAAGAGGCCGGCGGCGACGAGCGCCCACAAGACCACCTCCTCACCGGGGCGTCAGTGCGCTGGTTCTCTGGATCCTGTCCGTCGGATGGCCGGCTTTTCTTTCCGAGCGCAAGTCCCACCAGCAGCCCCGCCACAAGCAGGGTCCTGAGGAGCGTTCGCATGGCAGAGCCCGTCTTGTGCCTACTAGTACCTCTAGAGCGAGTGCAAAGTGCGTTGCAGGGTTACTGAGTGATTGACTAGAAATGCCGGATGTTTGGGGTGATGAGCAAGCTCCGGCGATTTTGTTGCCGGCGCAGCTGGGCCCTTAGAACCCCTTGACTCAGACGGCTACGATTTCCAGGAAAAGAAGAACGCTCTCGAGTGGGGCATGTTCTATGCAAGCAGACAGGCATCCAGGGAGAGCCACACTCCTGGGGAGCAAGGGAGACCACCGCCCTCCTGCAGTAAGTCGCCCAGCTTGGTGGTCCCTTCGCACTGCTTCTTCAAGATGGCCAGTTGAAATCGACGCATCCAGCAAAACAATATCCCAGCATCAAGCGTCCTTTTCAAACTTGGCGACAAAGAAGCCGATTGTATCCAGCGGGGCAGATGGGTCAAAGCGCTGCACCAGCGCTGCCTCCTTCTCGCTCAGCAGCTGCTGAGTGCGGCCGCAGGGCAGCACCACGTTGCCTGCAGGCAACACAAACGGAGATGTCGCCAATTTGTGGAAGCATAAGGCAGGCGGTCAGGCCGGGCTGGCCACTCGGGCATGGCTGCACAGCCCTATGGTGGCGCTGTGCCAACTGGTGCCAAGAGTGGGCGAGGGTTGCAAAGCCGCTGGCCTGTGAGCCCCAGCTGGCCCACCTGTGAGCCCCGGCTGGCCCAACCGCGGCGCCTGTTGCACCAGGCGCATGCCGGGGAAGGTGTCCAGCAGCCACCGCACATTAGCCTCATTCTCGCCTGCACAGCGCAGCGCAGCACGGCACAGCAGGGCAGGAAGAGTGAGGGAAAACGGCAGCTGCAGCCGGGGAGCCGCGAGGCCAGATGGCCAGCAGGCCTGCTGCGCCAGCCATGCTCCTGCTGCTGCGCTGCCACTCTCCCGCTGACCCCCCCCCACACACACAGCCCGCAGCTCTGCGACTCGCATCAACGCCAACACCCTAGTGCCACCCAGCCTCGCCCCGGCCCTCCTCCTGCCCTGCCTGCCTGCTCACCCGGGTTGATGCTGCAGGTGGAGAAGACCAGGGCCCCCCCCGGGCGTACCAGCGCCACCGCCACCCGCAGCAGCTTGCGCTGGTACGCCGCCGTCTGGTCCAGCTCGCGCAGCGTCTGGCGGTGCACCAGCCTGCAGAAGGGGGCAGGCAGGGCAAGGAGATGGGGCGGCGGTGGGCATGGGGGGAACGGGGGATTGGGCATGATGCAGGGGCAGCATGAACACCAGCAGCCAAACACGGCCACGAATTCGCGAGCTGGGTCCACGTGGCTGGCTGCACCGGCTCACCTGGGGCGCAGCCCCAGCGCGGTGCAGGGGGCATCGCACAGCACATGGTCGAAGCTTGCGGGCGGGAAGCCGGGCGCCGCCGCCTCCTTGCCCTCTGCCAGGTGGGGCGAGGGCGCCGGGTCCAGGCCGCGGGCCTGCCGCGACGCCGCTATGCGCTCCAGGCGGCGAAGCGTCGCAGCGCTGGGTGGCTGGGTGCGACCGCCACGCCGCCCCCGGCTCTCCACCGCTGACTCTCCACCGCCGCTCGGCACCGCCGCCGCCACCTCGCCCACCTGCGCGCCGGCCCCGCAGCCGCTGCTGCTGGCCTCGGCTGGGCTCGCGCCGCCTGCCCCTGCTGCCACCGCTGCTGCCACCGCTGCTGCTCCTGCTGCAGCCCCTGTCGCCTCTCCATGCTCTTTCTCCTGCTGCTCCTGCTGCTGCTGTGGTACCAGCTCCGGTCCTGGTTGTGGTACTGGCTGCAGTACCGCCTTGGTGGCATCCATCTTGTACGCCTTCACGCACGTCAGCCCGAAGCTGCCAGCCAGCCGCCGCACCTCGGCTGCCTTGGCGTGGGAACGGTCGAAAGCCACCACCTGAGGGGGGGAGAAAAGGGAGACGGCGGCAACGAAAAAGAGGGTCAGCAGGGGTGATGACGGATCAGCGGGCGGCAGGGCGGGTCCCCAGCACGCCAGTGGCCGAGGCAGCAGGCACTGCGCACCCCACGCCTGCACCCCACACCATCGCCCCGCGCCGCCGCCACCACCACACATGCCGCCGCCGCCAGCTCACCTCCCCGCGGTCTCCCATCAGCTGCGCCAGGGCGGTGGTCTTTCCTCCCGGCGCGGCGCACATGTCGAGCACGCGGGCGCCCGGCCGGGGCGCCAGCACGTGCGCCGCCACCAGGGAGCACACGTTTTGCAGCATGAAGTCGCCGGGGAGGATGTCTGCGGGGTGTGCGGAGCAACGCGCGTGTGTGGGAATGTGGGCGGTGGCGGCGGCGGCGGCACTCGCACGGGGGTGAGCAGGCGAGGTGGGAGCAGGCAGCAGGCAGACGGGGGCTGGCGCGGGGAAGGGAGAGTGGAGCAGAGGCCGAGCAAGGTGTGTGCAGCGCAGGTGGACGGCAGCGCCTGGCTCACCCCCGCAGCCGGGGGTGCGGAACACTCGCTCCAGCATGGTGACGGCGATGCCGCCGCGCCCCTGCAGCGGCACGGGAGCGGCAGGCGGGGTGGGCGGAGCGGCGGGACGACTTCAGCGGCAGCGCAGCACGGCACAGCACGGCAGGGCGGAGGATGGGCCTCCCCAAGCGCGGAGCAGCTGCTGCACACGAGGAAGGCAGGGCAGCACTACCACCCGTGGCACGATGCAGTACATTGTGCAGTACACGATGCAGTACATCATAGTACAATGCAGCACCCCACCTGGAAGAACTCGGTGCGGCTCAGCTCGGCCCGGCCTATGCCGATGAACAGGCGGCTGCGGTCAGGCGCCTGCCCCCCGAGCGCCTCCACCTGCTTCGCCTCGTGCTCTGCGTGGGCGGCGGCGGCGGCGGCAGGGCGGCGGCGGCGCTGGGAGCTGCCGCAGCGCTCAACCCACCCACCCACCAGCACAAGCACGCGCACACACACACACACACACACACACACACACACACACACACACCACTGCCACCACCACCACACCAGCAGCAACCACAACCGCACCCTGCACCCACCTGATCCCAGCACGGTACCGCGGGTGTAGGCGTACCGATCGCTGCCGGGCAGCTCCAGCCCCACCGACACCGCCACCAAGTCCCCCTTTTCGATGCCTGCAGGCGGGCGGCCAGCATTTGCAGGCGGGCGGCCAGGACCCTTTGCAGGCAGTAGAGCCTGCTGCCACATCCTCGGCCCCGCAGGGTCAACGAAATTAACTAACAGCCGCCCGCCTGCTGCCACGCCAACGCCGCATGCGTGCGCGCAGCGCTCTGCAGGCCGGCCGGCAGCGCCGCCGCTCCCGCGGGCGCTCCGCCGCGCACCTGGCGACACAGCCAGCATGCCCGGGGCAAAGACGTGGGCCCCCCGCATCACAGATTCTCCCGCCTTGCGCCCCACAACCACCTCCAGCCCGCCTGCAGGCGGGCGGCCGACGGCATGAGCGGTGGGCACGCATATTTTCAAAACAAACACACACACACACAGCTCCACACAGCCACACACACACACTCACGCGTCCTGCTGTAGTCGACGGCGTGCGGCCCCGTGCCCGGCAGGATGACGGCGTCCGGCAGCAGCGGGTGCACGTAGGCGGGGTTGGTCTCCAGCAGGGCGCGGTCCTCTGGCGCCAGCGCCTCGGGCAGGCGGCGCAGCAGGTCCTGCGGGGGAAGCCGTGAAGGGGCGAGGCAGCCAGGAAGGGGTGGGTGTGCGGCGGTGGCGGGCAGCGGGGGCTTGGTGGTGGGCAAGTATGTGTGAGCTGCCTGCCTGAGGTGACGCAAAGCAAGCTGGCTGTTGCCCCTGCAAGTGGAGGTGAGGGGATTTGCAGCCGCAGCACGCCGCCGCAGGGGGCGGCGGCGAGCCCGGCACGGCACCTGCGGGCTGGTGCGCAGCGTGTTGACCCGCAGGCAGGTGGCCAGGGGAGGCCTCGCCAGCGCCGCCGATATCTCGGCCAGCTTCTGTGGGCCCAGGGCGGCCTCCAGGTACTGCCGTACCTCGGAGTCCCAGCTGATTTCGGGGGCATAGGTGCGTGCCGCCATGCCGGGCGCTTCAGCTGCGGAACCGAGGGTGGCGGCGCCGGCGGTCAACTATAGCCGCCAGCCCTGGCGCATCCCGGGCATTGGGCTGGCTCAGGAGGTCAGCCCAGGCATCCTCCTGCTGATCTCTGATCGGCTTGCTGTGCAGCGCTGGGGGCTCAACACAGGGGTGCAGCGTGCTCACCTGGCGCGGCCTCGGAGGCAGCCGCCAACGCGGCGACCTGGGGTCTGGGAGTCCTGGCCGTGCGCAGCAGCGCAGCCCCTAGAGTGCTGCCCAAGCTCTGTGCGGCTGTTTTGCAGCCTGCAGCTGCCCCAATGCGTATGGATGGCGGGGTGGGTGGGGCCAAACAAATACGCATGTGCGCCCGATTTGGCGAGGGGATGCAGGTACATGCATCGGGCCGCTGGGCGAGGCCTGCAAGAGGCCGGGGAGCCCTTCCCGGTACAGACGGCGGTACACGGATGCCATCCACACCCAGAAGCACAATGCGCATGCATGGGGGCTGCACATTGCACAGTCACAACTACCGCGGTATATATCTGCAGCCGGCACCCTCCCAGCGCCATCTTCCCATCGCCACCCTCGCTGCTCCAAGCTTTGGGCCCTCCCTTGGCCACATTCGCTGCACGGGAGCTGCCGCAGCAGCGGCCAGCAGTATGGTGGCCACTACCAGTAGCGCGCAGGTGCAGGGGGTGCAGATAGGAGCCCGGCAGGCTGGGCGGCCGGCGGTGCAGCAGGTGGTGTGCTCCTTGAGGCGCACACATTCGCAGCCATTCGGGACCAGGTGAGAGAGGCGCTGGCGCTGGGCCATGCAGGCAGATGCGCGGTGGCCACCGCCGCCCGCCGCCACTTCCAGAGAGCGAGGCACCTGTGCCAGTCTTGTTCTTATGCGCCTTCATAGCCTGCATCAGAAATAGTAGCCCGGCGAGGCAGTCCTGCTGTGCCTGCACGCTCCAGCCCAAACCTCCACCTGCCGCCATCCGGCCGCCTGCCCCCGCCCACGCACCGTTGCCGCAGGCCCCTGCAGCGGCAGCGCCCCCAGCTGCGACAAGTCCGTTCCGCGGACGCGGCGCCGGCGGTGGGCAGCGGCTGGATGGACCAGCCAGAGTCGCAGCCGCCGCCGAACGAGGTGGAAGTGTTCCCGCGGCTCAAGGAGCGCGACCCATACAAGTGAGCCTCGTAGTCTGTGCTGGTCTGCTCTTTTGTCTTCTCTTTTGTCTTTGTTTTGGAGACCGGATGGACAGCCCGGCCTGCCAGGGAACACCCCTCCTCCTGGGTCCGCAGCCTGCCTGCCGTCCTGCCCACATCTCGCTGCGCCTGCTGGCCGCCCATGGCTGCGGCACGTGCCAGCGCCGGCGCCTCCCATCCAGTCCAGGACAGCGCTGCAGCCGGTGCCAGCACCGTGCCGGGCCGCACACCGCCTCCGCCTCTGCCCTCGCCCCCGGGCCGCTGCGGCCAACGCTCGCCGCCGCCGACGGCGCGCTTGGCGCCCTCCCTGCCCGCAGGCGGCTGGGCGTGTCACGGGAGGCGTCCTTCGAGGAGGTACAGGAGGCCCGCAACTTCCTGGTGGAGCAGTACCGCGCCCACGAGCCCAGCCGGGAGGCCATTGAGCTCGCCCTGGACTCGATCCTGGAGGAGAAGCGGCGGGTGCGGCTCAAGGACGGCTTCCGCCCGCCCAGGACAGGGCGCCGCACCGACGTGGCGGGGGACGCGCCCAACCTCAGGTGGGTGGGTGTGTGGGGGTGTGCTGAGCGTGTGTGGGTGGTGCTGTGTGTGCATGTGCACACATTACATTGAGTGTGTGTGTGTGTGGTGCTGGTGGCCGCGTGCGCGTGCTGCGGGAAGCCACACGGGCCCGGCAGCCTGCATCGCCTGGGCGTGCTGCCCCGCCGCAACGGCCGCCCGCGGCCGCCGCATGCCACCCCCCATCACCCTGCCAGCCTGTCTTTACCTACCCCCCGCCTCCTTGCCGCCTGCTCGTGTGCCGCCCCGCAGCCTGTGGCAGCGCGTGCGCCAGAAGTTTGAGCCCTCTGTGCCCTCCACCACCCTGGTCAATGACGGCAGCGTGTTTGTGGCGCTGGGCGTGTGGGCGGGGTGGACGGCGGCGGCCTCCGACCCCACGCTGCCGCTGGGCGCCGCCCTGGCCTTTGCCGCTTGGAAGCTCTATGACAAGCGCAACAAGCGCAACCCAGGTGCGGCCAGGAGGCTCTGCGGTTTGATGCCGCCTGTGGCTGGGCGGGGGCTCTCTCTGCGTGCGCCTGCGGCTTGGTGGGGGCGCGCCTGTGCTGGGCGCGGCGTGCTCCGGCGTGGCTGGGCCTGCAGGGGTGCTGCTCTGGAGGCTGGCCGGCGCTGCTTCCCCGCCGCTGCCGTGCACCCCACAGACCGTACTCGCACCTGTACCTGCACCTGCACCTGTACCTGCACCTTTGCCCCCACCTGCACACAACCAACCGCGGCTGCCGCGCTGCCGCAGACGGTCCCTACTGGGGCGGCAACCCGATGTGGGGCGCGCTGGGTGCCGTGGTGCTGGCGCTGGTGCTCGGCAGCCTGCTCTCCTACGCTCTAGTCAACGTGAGCGCCGACCCTGTTGCCTGCGTCCCTTGCTGTGCCGCCAAACTCCCGGGGGGTCCCGGCTGCCGCAGGGCGCTGTGCTTGCTGTACGGCGCTGTGCTTGCCGGCGGCTGTGGCCGGTAGTGCCCAGTAGTGCCCCGGCGGCTTTGCCTGAGCGCCCTCTGCGCCCGCGCCCTGCCCTGCGCTGCCCTGGCCGCAGATGGTGCCACTGCCGCCGAGGCTCGCCAGCGAGGCGGTGGGCCTCTTCCTCATCACCATGTGCCTGGGCTTCACTGCCCTCTACCTGAAGTGAAGCAAGGGTGCCCTTGTGCCGATAGCGGAATGCACAGGATTCCCGAGGATGGCCGCGCCGCTTTACCTGGCTTGAGGGAGTGGCGTTTGCGATGTCCCTTGCGGAGAGCCCTGGCCCTGCCCCTTGCATGAATGCGGGGGCCACCGTGGCATTCAGCACTGTCCAATTTCTTCAGCTTCTCCCCTTGCCGCTCGCCGTACATTCTCTCCCATTGCACCCTCTCCCCTCGTGCACGCCTCAGCTCCCTCTCTGCTTTCCCCACTTCTTACAATTTGCACATCACTTCAAGCGGCTGCAACAGGCAGAAACCAATCCAGCACGGTGCCATGGGTACATGCACCTTTTCCTGATTTTGGGCCAAAGCGCCAGCAGGCGGCAACAATGTTGCGGCGTGCCGCCCAAGATTTCATCTCTCTGGGCAATCTGGACCATCCCGCGCCGACAACTGGTCTCTGATCACTTGGTACACAATGATTTGCGGGTCCAGGCAGCGTTTCCGCCCCACAACAACCCGCAACTAAACGGGGCTGGGCGGGCGCTTGCGTGGGCCAGGCCCAGCCGCGGATTGACCGGCGATCACTGGAGATGGCGCCTGGCAAGCAGCAGCCGCCTGGCACCAGGCTACGAGGGGCGGCCTTTTTGCTGGCGCTGCTGTGCACCCTGCTGCTGGTGGTAGTCGGCTGCGTGATGGTCTCCCGGGCCGCCGTGCGCGGCTGCGGGGCCTGCCTCAGCTCGGGCGCCGCCGCCGGCGCCCCGCCCTGGGCGCCGCCCATCGGCCGCGGGCCCGGCGGCCACGACCACGACGCGGCGCGTGCAGCGGCGGCAGCGGTGGCGGCGCCCAACAAGCAGGGCCAGCCGGCTGTCTTTGGGCACCCCCACGGCATTCCCCGAATCCTGCACCGCATCTACATTGCTGACCCAGCAGACAGGAAGCGGTGAGCGCCAGGGAGCCTGCTGGCATCATCGCCTTGCCTGCTGGCATGATTGGAGGCCAGAGAGCTGAACACGAGAGGGGCAGTGTGCGGGCGACCCTTGCATGCGGGCAGGGCGATCGCAGGCGGCACGTGCACCGGTGGCGGCCGCCTGCTCTTGTTGCCGGCAGGTGCCGCTGATCAGTGCTGACGCTGGCGATTGGCCGACTGCCTCCTGGCATCGTCACCTCCCCTGCAGGGCCAGCTTCACAGCCCCCATCGCGCACGAGCGCTGGGTGGAGTCCTGCCAGTTCGCGCACAGCCGCCACGCGGGATGGTGGGTGGCACGGGCCGCGCTGCTTGCCTTAAGGACGCCGGCTGCGACGCGGCTGCTGCCCCCCCCGCCGCCTCCGCCGCATCCCTGGCTGCCCTATCTACCCACCGGCCACCCTGCCGGCCCCCGCTGCTGCGCCGCGTGACAGCCGCGTGGTGCGGCCTGGCGTCGCTGCTGCAGGCGGCTGATGTTTTGGGACTGGCGCAACACGGAGGCGCTGGTGCGCAACCATTACCCCTGGTTCCTGCCCTTCTACCGCCACAACGCCAGCCGCGCGATTGAGAAGAGCGACCTGGCACGCTGTGAGCTCTGTGCCGTGCACGCCTAGCGCTAGTGAGCGGTGGCAGGGAAGGTGTTAAGGCTCAGTCAAGCAGAGCAATCCATTCAACAGAAAAGAGAACGGCTGCCTCGCCCACCCCCTCCTCTTTTCTTGTTGCAGATGCCATCCTGCACCGCGTGGGAGGTGGGCGGCGGTGTGGCTACCAAGCAGAGCTCTGGGCTCTCAATGATTGCAATGCCTTGCCTGCCCGTTGGATCTGAGCCACCGCTGGCTGTCTGCACCCTGTACCGCAGGGCTGTACCTCGACTCTGACATCCAGTGCTGGCGGGACGGCAGCGACATGCTGGAGGGCTTCGACCTGGTGGCGCAGGTGGGGTGTACCTTGGGGCGGTACCATGGCTGGACAGGGGCCAGTACCATGCCGGGATGTGACCCATGCTGCATGGGAGCGGCAATTTCATACAATGTTTATTGCTCCTGGGTTTCAAAGGATGGATAAGTGGGTGGACATGTGCCCCGTGTCTGTGCATGTCCTCCACCCTGCGCCCGCCGCTGCCCCCAACCCTGCCTGCCTGCAGTCCACCCACGGCGCAGAGGGGGCCACCAACGCCGCCATTGCGGCGGTGCCGGGCCTGCAGGTGTTTGTCAAGGCGCTGCAGCTGGTGCAGACGCGGGTGGGCAAGGACAACCAGCAGCTAAACGTGAGGGCTGCTGGGGTCGGGATGGGGTGGTGGCGCATGGCACACTGCCCTGCTGATCACGGCCTCCCGTGGCTTTCTGGCGTGCTGCTGGCGCTGCTGGTTGCTTGCGTCGCGCCCAGGCCTGGCACCAGCGGCGCCTTGGCATCCTCGGCACACGGCATGGCGCAGTGCACCGTGCTGCTGGCGCCGCTGCCCATGGCCGCGTGCCTGCTCATCTCCCTCGCACCTCGGCACGCCCTGCTCTCCTCCCTGCCGACCTACCTGCCTGCCTGCCAGCCCTGCCCGCCTGCAGGTCATCGCCCGCACCGGCCCAGACCTGTTCACCGACGCTCTGGTGGAGATAGGGCTGAAGCGCGGGAAGGATGGGCTGTTCCCGCCTAGCTCTTATGTGAAAGGCGTGGGTGAGTGACTGGTGTGGGTCCGGATGCATGCTTGGAGAGAGTGTGTGTATGTCTGAGCAGGTGTAAGTGTGTTGTGTGTTTTCGGTGAGGGGTGTGTGTTGGGGTGCAGTACGGTGAGGAGTTGACTCAGTTGGCAGCAGCGTCCGGCTGCCGCCCAGACCCAGCTCGCACTAGGCGGCTGCCGTTGCCGAGGGGGCGCTGCCGGGGCACGGCGCGGCGCGGCGTGACTGCCTGCCCGCCCTGCCTGCCGCAGTGTACCGCCTTCACCGCTCCGGTACCTGGTACAACCCCTGCCTGTGGTGGGAGCAGGAGTGCCGGCAGCGCGTGTATCGGGAGCTGGCGTCCGGGATGACCAACATGAGGTGAGCAGGCGCAGCGTGCATAGCACAGCAGTGCTCTGTCAGCAACTGAAAGAGGCTTGACCTTTCAGCGAGCTGCAGGCTTTGCAGCGGTCGGCGCCTTTGTGCCCGCACCTGCCCGCTCCCACTCTCCCCAAGGCCGGCCCCTTGCACCCCATGCCCTGGGGCACTGCCAGTGCGTGCCTCACGGCTCCCGCTGCGCCCCCTGTCGCAGCCAGCTGGCGGGCTTTCACAGGATGGTGGGCAGCTGGATCGCAGGTGAGCGGCAGCGCTGGCTGCTCTGCTGCTCCTGCTGCTGCTGTGCCCTGCGACATTGTCCTCTGCACGTACTGGCATGCTGCTGAATCCGCGGCTTCCCTGGCACCTTCCCCGCCCTGCTGCTTTCTTCCCCGCCAGGCAAGGAGGACGGCATCGGCATCCTCAACACCACAGCCGAGCTGTGTGGAGGTGTGTCCCACGTGAGGGGCAACGGCCAGATCGGCGGCTGGGTGGCCCCGCAGCGGAAAGGCAGGCAGGGCTCGAATCCGCTCGGCGGCGGCGGCCCCAACCAGCAGCAAGGCTAGCCTCGGCTGCCCTCACTAGCCCTTTTGATTCACTGATTCTTCTTCCCCTGTTTTGTGCCTTCCCTTGTCTCACTGAAGCACTGCCACACTGTTACGGCTCAACTCAATCCCAAGGAAGCATGCACATGGCCGGCCGCTGAGGCGGGCAGGCGCCCCCGAGCGCCCCGCCTCCCCCAGCAGCTGATGCCAGCCGCACAGCTGGTGCTCGCTGTGTTAGCTGCTTCACAGGGGTGGCTTGGTGGTGGTGCCATAGGTGGGCTGCTTGACCAGGAAGTCGCTGTACTCCTGCGGTCCAGGCGGTACCAAGGCGGTAGGTGGGACCGCTAGGCATGGTGCAGGTACCCAAGCGCGTCCGTTGTACTTGACTGCTGCACGGATTAAGCGCTTAAGCGCAGATGATGCAGCCGTACCACACATGAGGGGCATGCCCCGCTGGCGCCCCTGGCAGCGCTGCCGCAGCACCTGCAGGGGGCTGATTGGGAGGTAGCCCTTGGTCCACAGCTCGGGCGCAAGGAAGGCGTAGGTGGCCTGGGAGGGGAGAGGGCGCAGGGTGCGGGGAAGCAGCATGCGGTGAAGGCATGCCCTCTGGCAGCAGTACTAGCCAGGCTGGGGGGTGAGGTGGCGCTGAGCCGGGAAGCCCAGCAGGCTAGGCCGGACCGCGGCAGCAGCCTGCGCTGGCTCCAGTCTGCCGCAGCCGGCTGTGCTGCCGGCGGGCAGCGCGGGAGCACTAAGGCGCTTGGCGGCGCGCGCCTACTGTGCCTGCCAGCGGCAGGCGCCGGGCCCAGGCCGGGCCCTCTGCTCCGGTGCCATATGCATGCATGCACTGGGATCGGCAGCGCCCCTGCTGCTTGCGGGCATGATGCGTGCACGCCTGAGGCAGGGTGCGGCGCGCCGTGCGCCCTGGCAGCTCGCGGACCGAGCAGCCGTGGAGCACAGCATCGCAGTCGCCCAGGATCACAGGCGTGCTGCGAATCACGCGTGCGCATCGAGGCTGGCTGTGTTTGTGCAAGACGGCCCTCCCTCGTGGGCAGCAACGCCTTCAGGCAGCGCTGCCAGCAGCCTCCAGCCGATTTTTTCTACGAGGCAGCCCATGACGAGTGCCAGCCAGCTGACCCACAGCAGGGCACCACGCCGCCCCACCCACCGCCAGCGCATAGAACGTGGCCTTCACAAAGTTGCCCTGCAGCACGGCACGGCACGGCCCCTGTTCGGCACGGCATGGCCCCTGTTAGGCACGCACATGCATTGATGCGCAGGGCGGCCGATGAGGAACGACGGCACAACAGGCACAGCAGGCATAAGAAGGGCACAGCATGGCACAGCAGGCAAAGCATGGCGCGCGACCCGTCCAGACTCCGCCACCCTCAGGCAGGCATCCTGCCCACTCACCAGCGTCTTGGTATTGCCGCGGCTGGAGGTGTAGCAGTCCTCGATGCCCGCCATCTGCAGCACCTGCTGGCAGGGGGCAGGCCCACCCGGCGGCGGCGGAGGCGAGCCAGCAGCCGTAAACGCTCGTCAGCAGCAGGTCTACAAGGTGCAGGCATGCGGGCCGGTCGGCTGAGCCCTGCTCGCCTGGCCAGCAGGCTGACGCCTCACGCACAGTACTGGCAGATGATGGAGTCAGTGCAGTACGGTACTGATCTTTGGACCCCTCAGCCTGACAGCACCCTCGGGACCAGTCACTGCCGGCAGCGCATGGCCAGGCACCGGAAGCGCAAGTGCAAGGCCGGCAGCGGTGGCGCAGCAAAGCTGCAGAGCGGCGCCCACCCACCTTCTTGGGCGTGCGAGCCGCCACGATGCCGGCGCCTGCAGGCAGGGAGCCAGGGAGGCCAGGGGGGGCATGTGCTGCCGCCATGGCAGGGCAAGAGCCGCTTGCTGGGCAGCCGGCGCGGCAGGCCCGCTGGGGTGTCAAGGCTTCAATTCCCCGTCCTGTCTCTAAAGAGACACCCTCAGAGGAGCAGCCCCACAGCAGAAAGAGCGAAGAGAGAGAAGAAGAGAGCGGCGGCGCAGGCGGCACCTCGCGGCGCGGGGATGAGGCGCACGCTCACAGAGCCGCAGTGGCCCGTGACCTTGGTGGGGACGGTGTGCACCTGCAGCACGGGCAGGGCCGGGGCGCTAACAGCCGCGCGGCGATGGGGGAGCGCAGCGGCGATGAGGAGGGCCCAGGGACAGAGTGCGCCCGCGGCCGGGGCAAGCTGCAGCCGGGGAAGGGTCCCGCCGAGCAGGACTGCCCCACCACCACCGTCCCACCGCCATCCCACCCCCATTGTCACCACAATCCCACCGCCCTGCCAGTGCCAGTGGCTTTGCCAGCCCACCTTGCCGATTTTGTTGCCCCAGTAGCCGCGCCTCACCGGCACAAGGGCCAGCTTGGCCAGAATGATGGCGCCTGCGAGTGCAGGTCAGAGCGGAGTGGCGCCTGCTTAAGCCTCGCTGAATGCAGCGCTGCCACATGCCGCGCCGCTGGCTGCCCGGCGAGCAGCCCCTGGACGCGTTGCTGGCGTGGCCAGGCAGCATCGGCAGGGAGCAGGCATGCTGGCAGGGCAGGTGGCAAGCAGAGGGGCGCACTGCATCCCTGCCAGCCCACAACGACAGCTCAGCAGTGCCCTGTGAGGTGTACACCCCATCGGCGCACCCCATCGGAAAGCAGATGGCAAGCAAGGGCTCGGCACAGCCCACCTCGGATGGCTGTGGCCACCTCCTTGGCCACCTTCACCCCGAGGCCGATGTGGCCGTTGAAGTCGCCCACACACACGAAGGCCTGCGAGGGAGGGGAGGCAAGGTGTGCGGCGCATGGGTGTGGGCGGGTGCCAGTGGCAGCAGGCCAGGGTGCCAGCAGGCCTGGCTCGATGTGCGGCACTGCAGCTAACAGGGAGCCTGCAAGGAAGTTCAGGCTGCCAGGCTGGCGGCTGCCAGCTGGCTGCCGGCTGGCTGCCAGGCTGGCGCCCTGCCTTCATGCGGGTGCGCTGCCCGGCCTTGGTCATCTTCTGAACCTGCAGTGGGGGCAAAGAGAGGGCGGAGGGCTCGGGAGGCCGGGCCTCCAGCAAAGCAAGCGGGCGCCAGCTGCAGCCTGCAGCTCTCCCACTGAGGCGTCAGCCACCAAGCCACTGCCAACCGGTTGGGTGTTTACATCAGGCCTCCGGATCCGGGCTTGACCCAGAGCTGCCTCAGCCCACCGGCATGATCTTCATGACCTGGCAGGAAGGCAGGGAGGCAGGCAGGGAGGGAGGGAGGCGTGCGACGTGAGCTGGGGCCGTGCCGCACGCGGCGGCAGCACGCTGTGGGCCCCCTATGGGCTGGTCCGGCTGCACGCCACGACCCGCAAGCAGGGGAACCAGGCCGAGCAAGTTGCGTGAAGCTGTCCCGCCCCAGGCAGCGCCCCAGGCGAGCAGGTGTGTGCTTGCCTCGTCCTTCAACGCGGGGCCGAGGAAGTGGTCGATGATCTGCGGCAGAAGCGCAGGGCGGGGGTAGGAGAGAGGGAGGCCGACAGGCGCTGCTGACAGCCGCTGCAAGAGAGCGAGCCGCGCCGGCGCAGGCTGAGCACCGCTGGCTGCGCTGCGCTGCGCACGGCAGCGGCAAGCAGGCGCCGCAGCTGCTGCAGCAGCGCCCGATGCAGAGGCAGTGCCCCGGTGGAGGCAATGCAGCGGTACAGCGTGGTACCACCCACCTGGTACTCCTTGACGGGCAGGGAGAAGAGGAACACCTGCTCCAGGCTGCGCACCTTGCCCTGCAGAGACAAGATGCGGGGAGATGGCAGGTGGCAGAGGGAGGGGAGGGAGAGAGGGCCGGGAGGCCAGCGGGCACGGCCCCGGCTCGCCCCGCGGCAGGCGCGCCGCCTCTCGCCTGCTGCACCAGGCGGCCCAGCTTGGTGACGGGCACCCACTTCTCCTCGCCCTCGTCGCGCCTGCGCCAGGGGCGGCAGAAAGGGAGGAGGGTGGAGGGAGGTGGCAGGGCAGACACGCGGCGGCAGGAGAAGGCAAAGGCATTAGGCACAGGAAGGGCTGTGGGGTGCGCTCGCCTGCCGCGGCCACCTCGCCCGCCGCGCCCGCGCCCGCGGTCGCCACGGTCGCCAAACCTGCCGCCGCCGCGGTCCCTGCAGTCGACCAAGCAGCGTGGCTTCAGCGGGGCCGGCAGCTCCTCGGCCTCCTAGGCTGCAGCAGCGTGCGGTCCCAGCGGCGGCACCGGCCCGGCGCTGTCCCCCAGCAGCCTTGGACTAATGAATGCACGCCTGCCCCGCCCTCCAAGGCTGCCTGACGCCCTCCTCGTCGCAAGAGAGCCCCCGGGCAGCGGAAGCTGGCACCACTCACCCTCCAAACCCACGCCCAAAGCCCCCACGCGAGCCAGGGGCCTGGGCTGCTGGGGGGCGGTCAGCTGGGAAGTCGTCAGCCATGGTGGGCCAGGAGCGCTGCCTCTGATGGGCGCGAGGGCGTCGAAGTTGTGCCAACAGCAGCCACGGGCAGCTGCCACGGCAGGAGGTGAGCAGACGAGGAGCTTGCCGGCCGGGGTCGCGCTGCACTTTCCTCCCCGTCGCCGCCGGGGGGGCCGGCCGCCAGGGCACTCTCACCAGTTTCACAAGCTTGAATGCAATCACATCCCTTCAAAGAGCACAGAAAGCAACACGCAAAGCATTGTATTCAAGGCAGCGCAGACATGGACACACACACGGCTTGCTTCAAACGCCCACTGTATTGACGGCAGGGTAAGGCGCTCAGCGCTGCCTGCTGGTGCCAGCCCCAGACGCCTCCAGCTGCGTGCACTGCTGCTTGTGCCCGCCCCTGTTCCAGTGCTGTCGCTGACATTCAACCGAGCAATACGCCACGGCCCTGCATGCTGAACACTTCCGAAGCTGCACGGCGGGGTTGCCGCAGCCGGCACACACCTCAAGCTGACGCTCAGGCGGGCTGGTGATGCCGAAGCTGGCCAGGTCAGCTGTTGCAGGCAAGCTGCCCTGGCCTGCGGGGAATTGCGCCGCGATCCCAGCAAGCATCTGCAAGGCTTGCTTCACCCCATCGGCCAGGCCATCATAACTGTCGGTGGGCAGCCAGCGCTTGCAGAGCGCCATCGCTCGCCGCGCGCGCTCCAGCAGCCCCTCCACCTCGCTGCGGCTGAAGAAAGGTGCCTCGTAGCCGGTCAGCAGGCCAAACGCCAGGCCAATGGAGGAGGTGGTGACACCCATGTGCGCATTACTAGCCTACAAAGCTTCATTCAGCACACAGACCGGCCGCCTCTTGCTCGAGGGCGGCCCACTTTGGCCTGGGCAACCCGGGCCGCCCTCCCCCCCCCGGGCGCATGTTCGGTGTTGGAGGGGTGTGCCCAGCGATAGGGGGCCCCTGAAGGCATGCGCCGAGGCCGGGAAGCGTGGTTCGGCGCTGCTGCACGCTTGGCGATTTGAACAGAACCACGTGCCGCCGAGCTGCGGCCGCAGTTTCCGGCCCACGGTCTACGGTCGCAAGCCACGGGACTCGGCGGCACGGCGTTTCGGTCCACGGCTTGCTGCCGCCGCCGTCGCAGGAGTGCTGCCTGCGGCGGCGGCGGCACGGCGTTTGGGTCCACGGCTTGCTGCCGCTGCCGCCGCCGCAGGGGTGCTGCCTGCGGCGGCGGCGGTAGCGCACGTGGCAACCCCCCGCGTTTCCTTGCCTCCCATCCACCGGACCCCGTCCTGCGCTTCACTTTGTTTAGGGAGGGGCTGCTCACTGCTCATTGCTCATTGCTCATCGCACACTGCTCAACGCTCATTGCCCTATATCCCACCCAGCCGCAGGACTCTACTGCCGCCCGCGCCCCGCCCCATCTGGGCCGCTTGCCCGCCCCATCCCCCCTCGATGAGAGCCCGCCCACACCAGGGCCTCCCCCCTCCCGCCCACTGCTTTCTCAACGGCCTCGAGCCGGGGCTGCCCTCATTGCATACATAGTGCGCCTTTCCCTGCTTTTCTAGTGACCTAGCGTTCCGCACTGCCGTTTGGCCAGCCCATGCTCCCGTACCGTTGCGTTTCTCCCCAATGCGCCATGCCACTTTGCCAGTCATACACACGTTTCGATGCGTGCCCTGTCAGCTGCTTGCGTTGCATGTCGCCTTGCTCCACCCCTGTTTTATTGCTTTCTCTGCTTTCGCCCGGTTCCCGTCCCGTTTCGGCGGGGAGTCTATGTTGCAAGCTAGTTCTTGCTTTACCAGACTTTAAGCCCACACAAGCACAAGCAAGCTGCACAGCGGTGGGTATGAGTGTGACCGGGTGAGCGCAGGCTGGATCATGAGATCTATTCATGTGAAAAAATGCAGTGATTGTTCCAGGCTGCAGCACATGTGGCTGCCTGGCGGCACCTTTCTGGGCGGTTGACAGCTCCAGCATCCGGCACCAGGCGGCCGCCGAAGCCTCCAGCTTCCCCAGGCACGCCTGCTCCTTCGCCAGCAGCCCCCAGTAGCTTGGTCGCTCTGCGTCAGCCTTGACCAGGCTCAGCACCAGGTGCAGCAAAAGCGACTGCATCGCATGCTGGCCAAGGCGGCCGAAGCGGCGCCCCACCCCGGCTGCTGCCGCCCTGGCGCTCGCCCCTTGGATCAGGGCCTGAGCGCGCTCATCGCCGCCACCGGTCACGCCCTCCCAGCGAGCAAGCATGCACGCCTGCGCCACCTGGCTGGCGGTCAGCGGCACGCTGAGCGCTGCACCCGCCAGGCTGGCATCCAGCGCCGCCAAGGCGCCAGGCGTGGCTACCAGGTAAACGTGTGCCTTGTTGGCGGCCTCGATGGTGTCTTCGAGGCTGGAGGAGTAGGCCATGGCTGCAAAGCCGATGGGCAGCCAGGGGCTGTGCAGCTGGTTGGCGCCAGGCACCGCGGCGCGGCGCAGGCAGTTGGGGGGCAGAGTGCACGGCTCGTATGTGGCAATCAAAGGCTCCACCTCGACGGCCTGCGGGGCCGAGGACCATAGTAGCGGTGCACTTTTGCCGTCAGCAGGCAACCTCGTGCAAGGTCCTTCCTGCATGAAGCTGAACTGAACAAGAAACACTCACCGCCTTCTGGACTGCCTGGGCACACGAACCCTCCAGCAAACATGCCGGCGACTGAAGATAGATCAGCCGCACACAGATTGCCAGGGCCTGCGCAAAGGCAAGGATAAGGGCCCAATTTCAAGGGATAAGGGCCCAGCAATGTGCAGCGGCACGACTGGGGCCGCAGCGTGGCGGCGCCCGCTGGCCTCCGTCGGGGCCTCACCTCCTGCTTCTCCCCGAGGCTCACGCCCTGCCTGCGCCGTCCCTGCTCGTCGAGAAAGGTGGCATGCAGCCGCTCGTTCAGGTCGCACGCTTCCACAAACTCGGCCAGCTCGCGGCTGCCGCGATGCTCCTCCGAATCCTGCAGCAGCCGCCTGGCTCGCTTCACGCGCTCCCGCAGGAAGGGCTGCAGGCGCCAGGGCATTCCGGCGGTGATGAGAATGGGGTTCAGCGTTCGGTGGTCGAGCCAAGGCCGGCGGAGTGTTCTCTTTCAGACGGATAGAGGCGCTCAAAAGCAAGGCGGGCAAGCGGGTAGCGTCTGCGGGCCCAGCGGTGCAGTGCGGTACGGGTACAGCGGGCGGGAGGCGGCCGGGCATGCCGCCGCTGGCAGCCCCTGCGCGGGCAGCCCACATTGCCTTTGTGTCCCAGGCAATGGGTCAGCGTCAGCCTGCCCGCGCCCGCCACGTGCCGCTGGGACCAACCCTAGCAAACATGCCCACCACCCTCCTACCAAACAAACACGAGGCCAGCATGACCCTGCAGCTGTGAGCGTTTTGCGGAAGTATGGGCGGCGGTGCAAGAATTCAAATGTGATGAACAGACGATGAACAGAAGGGAGCAAAGGATGCAAGGAGCAGCGAGCGGGGGAGCGGGAGGGACAGAATCAGCACCCAACACAGAGCAGCAAAGCAAAGCACCATGTGGCGACGGGCAGGGCTGGTATGGGTATGGGGTGGTATGGAGAAAAGCTGAGTTTGTGCCGAGGCCTGAACATCACTTGAAGTCTCCGTCAAAGCCCACAAAGCCAGCCAGCTGCACGCATGGAGAGCAGCCAAGTTTGCGTTGGCGGCCGCGCAGGGCAGCGCCATTGGGAACACACCCTTATTACAGGAGGCAACGGCAGGCACGAGCCCCCCGGCAGGCGGCTGGCGTCCTGGCTTGCAGAGGGGCTGGCCAAGCTCTGGCTACCACAACCAAGTCTGCTCCTCACTCTCTCTCTCTCTCTCTCTCTCACACACACACACACACACACACACACACACACACACACACAACCACAACCACACCTTGAACACATGATAGTATGGTTTCTTCTCAATCTTGCTGCACCAGTTCCAAGCCGAGGTGAGGCGCCCGCTGCAGGCAGGCAGGCAGGCAGGCAGGCAGGGGTCCACAACAGCGCAGCCAGCTCAGCGCGAGAGGGCCAGGCTCCAGACCGCCGCGGCAAAGTCGATGCTCTTTGTTGTGCACAGGGCTGGTACAGCACACTCACTCGATGCAGCTGCCGGCGTCAAAGAAGTTGTCTGCAGGGCAGGGAGAAGGGGTGCCACGGGGGCTTGCCAATACGCATCAGCGCCCACCCACGGGTCGCCAGCTACGCAGCAAACCACCAGCCCAGCCCACAGCCCAGCCCACAGCCCGCGGACCGATCCCATGCGGCCGTCAGCTAGGCAGGCAGGCAGCGCAGCCCACCCGCGCCGCTGCCGTCAAAGGCGTGGCGGAAGAAGTCGAGGAGGATGGCCTTGCGGCACGGCTCCACGCCGCCAAACGCGCCCTGCACATACGCCGCCACCTGCGCCGCGCCACGCGAGGGACAGGCCAGCAAGAAGGGGAGGGGGCAGGGTCGGTGAGCGGGCAGGAGCGGCTGCCGAGGCAGGCAGGGAGAGCAACGAGGCAGGCGCGCAGCGCGCGAAGCACAGGAGGAGAGGGCAAGCGGCGCCGCGCGCAGGCTGCTGCCGCCCATCTGGACTCCGCCCTCGCCAGCCCCTGGCCGGCAGGCCGAAGGTGCCACCCACCCAACCCCTGCCCCAGGCAACCAGCCCAAGGTCTGCTCACGCGGCCTATCACAGCGGGGTGGCTGCATGTCATACAGCCAGCCCCAGGCCCAGGCAGCCAGCCCCAGGCCTAGGCACGCAGCCCAGGCCCAGCCCGCCCACCTGCGGGTCGCGGCACAGCTTGGGCAGCTCGTCCAGGACCAGCACAGTGGGGTTGAGGATGCGGGGCACCTGCGGAGGGAGAGGCGCAAGAGGCGGGGTGAGGGCAGGGCAGGGCAGGGAGGGGAAGGGAGGGGCAGGATGGGGCAGGCGGGGAGACTCCCACGCACGGCAACCCCCACGCACTCGCGAGAGCCAACCCGCACACACCACCACCCCAAGCACCGCCAGCGACACAACACCCCCAGGAGAGAAGCAGAGAGGAAAGCACGCACACCTCCGGTTTCATTTTCTATGGACATGAGGGCAGGGCAGCAGCAGGCAGCGGGCACCGGGGCCCAGCCCCGCCGCACCCGCCACCGCGCGCACACCCAGGAGGAAAGCGCGGAGGGAGGAAAGCACGCACCTGCGTATACTTGTCTATGAACATGAGGGCGTTGGGCACGTTGTGATCTCCCAGGTGCACCACGGAGGAGCCCACCCAGCCGCCGATGCGGCGCTGGCAGCGCGCCAGGATGGCCTGCATGGCGCGCCCCACTGCACGCAGAGGCGGGCCGCGCGGCGCTCAGAGGGGCATCCGTGAGGCAACGAGGGGAACAAGCGCGGCCATTGTTTGACTCCTGTGCATGTGCCAGGTCATGCCACGTCACACACGGTGCGCGGAGCATGAGGAGGCAGCGGGGGCGTGAGGG